AAACATTAGAACCAACACAGCAGAACCTCTAAATATGAGTCTAACCAAGTTTTAGGTTAAAATATAACAATAATAATAACTGGTTTCCTGTTCAAATGTTGGTGTGTTGGTTCAAATCCTCCATCAGAATACTCTGTAATTCCTAGAATTGGTTCCAAAAACCTACGATAACTCCTTAATAAATACTGCAGATAATTACACATAGCAAGAAAACAAATGACTTCTAGAAGAGAGATGGAAAAATAAATAAATGATAAAGAAATAATCAGTAAAAAGGGTTTTTATTGTCCATTTAGCTCAGAAACTACGTGAACTTTAAGCTAACTTAGCTTATTTATTTTTATTTCATTTTTGTATTCTATTTTTTTTTTTATATCAATTCAACGTCATACAGGAACTTTAAACCAACTTAGACTAGTTATTTTCATTTAATTTCCATATTTTACATATTTTCCAACGACTTTGACACGTATTGGACCTTTACTTTGGGTGTCGAGTCGAATATTTGATCAAATTTCACTTCGAATGTTGGAAAACTCGTATTTTTAGGCGTCCTAATAGAGGTTCTGCAATAGTATAACATAATCTTTAATTTTTTTAAATAGTATAATACATTCTTTGCCTCAGATCATAGTTTGGCTGTTAAGATAAACTGCTATTGTGTTATATATTTAACTTAGAGAAATAAATAAAAAAAGGTGATAAATAGGGAATGAATCATCTCCTTCAGAGAAATCTAAATAAGTATCTCTTTTATTATTATCAATGATGATTATTTATCTATAATATTATAATATTTATTGGTCTGTTTACATGTGATTGTTCTGTTTTTCTCGTTTTTAGGGGAGAGATATATCGAGTTATTCCTGAACTCTGTAGCAGACTGAAGGTAAGAAACGGCCCAGAATGTCCAGAATTCTGTAGATTTTCTGTTTTAAAGCATTCGGATGTTTGTTTTTCCACTTTTTCTGCAGAGACTGGAGCTCCCGATTCTGCTTTGATCCACAAACAGAAGATTAATGAGAATACGGACTAATAAACGCGC